TTAGAGAACATTTAGAATGTAGTATGTAAAGTGGTTTATGTTATATGCAGTTGGCCAGTTTTTATGAGACATGTTTAAAAAATTTCCTAATTTTATGCAAATAGTACTTGCGGCTTGAAATGAAATGCCTACGAAGAGCATATTACATGGAGTCAGAAAATGCTTTATCTCAAACAGTATAGACAGTTGGGAAAGGAAGATAATATATTCTAGAAAATTATACTCAGTTAGCTATGAATAATAATGAACCACAAAATCCAAACCACTTGCCATCAAGTTGATGCTGACTCATGGCAACCTTATGTGTGTCAGAGTAGAACTGTGGTCCTGAGGGTTTTCAGTGGCTTATTTTTCAGAAGTAGATCACCAAGTCTTTATTTCGAGGTGCTTTTGTTGGTCAAGCCTCCAGCCTTTTGGTTGACAACCAAGAGCTTAAGAATTAAGACATCTTTAAGCACTTACTATATGCCAAGCACCATGCTAACCATTATAGTTGTACTAGTTAATTTAATGGAATACATGACTCAGAAATTGTCCCTATTGATGCCAAAGACATTGATGTTGAAGCTACAGTGAAGATTAATTGTACGTATTTTAGGTGCATAAAATGAAAGCATGGAGAAATAAGCAATTTTTTTAGAAAATTGTGATTTGGGTGAACGTTTACAGAGTAAACTCACTTTCCATACAGCAGCTTACATACACTTTGTCTCATGACATTGACTACAATTTACCACAATGCAATAGCTCCCTTCCTACTTCCTTCCCATTGTTACCTCTTCCCTGTGTCCTTCCCTCCATGCACTCCTACCCCCAAGCTGTCTCCCTGTGCATACACAGCCCTTCTATTCTCCCATGATTGTTCTCTCCAAGGAGTGTATCTACCTAATGTAAATGTTCACCTCATATGAATAAGCAATGTTTTTAAAGTAGCATTTCATGTAATAGTTCAAACTGTATAAGTCGAGCAAGTAAATGTGTAAGTAGACAGTTGACTGTTTCATCTGTATCTCTAAAATATTAGTATATTTAAGATGATTAGAAATCCTTTTTTGAATCTCATCCTTGGGAAATATGTGTAAGGGTCACCTTATGTTTAGGAATATTTAGTGCTTGCATGAGAAAATTCAGTCTAGATTCTCAGAAGAAAAGCATATCCTACTTGTCTGATCAGAAAAGTTTTTTTTTTATTTTGGTTTGTTTCTTTTTTAAAATTTGGTAATGGGTTTCATGTTTTAAAACTAAAGTTTTAGGACTTGCTTTGTTTTAATGCTTCTTTACTCAAGGATTTTGACTCTGTCATCGTATTCTTTTCCTCTTCACTTTCCGTCTGTGATACACAGTCCTTTTTCTTAGCCTAGTGATCCCATGTCTGTGTGTATAGGTTCAGTTACTCTAATTAAAACTTCTCATCTGTGTCTTATTTAGGAAAGCAGTGACATTGTAAATGAAAGCCTGGAATGGCAAAAGCAGATTCTTGAAAATGAAGAGGCCATTGCTCTTAGTAGGAAAGACAGGACCATTCAACATGTGGAAGTGTTTTGTTATGCCAGGTATGAAAACTATTTATTTAGGATAAATTAAGTTAATGTCTTCTTAGTCACACTTTGTTTGGAAGAAGTCAATGATAAGGAATTAAGTGATGTTGATTGCTACAAGTCATATTAGTATGCTTGTTTTAACTTTTTTTAAGATGTAACTTTCAGTTTTCTCTGGGTAATAATAGTAATGATAATAATAATAATAACAACATTAATGCTATGCAATTTAACAAACTCTTTGAAATACATTATCTCATTTGATCCTTACAACAATCTCATGCTATCGTAGGGCAGACAGTGCTGGTTACCTTTATTTACAGATGGGTCAGTAGAGCTCAGACAGATGAAATAATTTGCTTAAGGTCATATGGCTTGTAAGTGACAGGGCCATACCTAAACTAGAGTGTGGTAAAGTTTAAGATTAAAACCCAGGACTTTTTATTCCTAGTCCAGTGTTACACCATCCTTCCTAGATAATATATTGTTGTTGTTAGGTGCCATCAAGTCAATTTTGACTCATAGTGACCCTGTGTACAACAGAACGAAACACTGCCTGGTCCTGCGCCATCCTCATAATCTTTATGCTTGAGCCTGTAGTTGTATTCACTGTGATAGCCCATCTCATTAAAGGTCTTCCCCTTTTTACTGACCCTTTACATTACCAAGCAAGATATCCTTCTCTAGGGACTGGTCCCTTCTGACAACATGAACAAAGTAATTGTGATGAAGCCTGTCTATTCTCACTTCTAAGGAGGATTCTGGCTACACTTCTTCCAGGATAGATTTGTTTGTTCTTCTGTAAGTCTGTGGAATTTTCAGTATTCTTTGCCACTACCCAAATTCAGAGGCACAGTTCTTTGGTCTTATTCATTGTCTAGCTTTCAAATGCATATGAGGCAATTGAAAATATCATAGTTTGGATCAGACCCACCTTAGTCTTCAAAGTGACGTCTTTGCTTTAACTCTTTAAAGAGGTCCTTTTGCAGCAGATTTGCCCAGTGTAATACATCATGTGATTTTTTGACTGCTGCTTCCATGACTATTGTTTATGGATCCAAGTAGAATGAATTCCCTGATAGATAACATAAAAACCAGACCAAACTCACTGCCATCGAGTGGATTCTGAAAAACCCCACTGGGTTTTCGAGGTTATAAATCTTTATGGAAGTAGATCATCCTATCTTCCACGGAGCGGCTGGTGAGTTTGAACTGCTGACCTTCTGGAAAGAAGATTATAATTTTGAATTAAAAAAAGGAAGAAATTGTGTGGTCACATTATAATGTATTTCCCTCTAAGTAAGAGTTTGTTGTTTAAAAATAAGTGGATTAATTTTTTCAGATGACATGGTGACAGACTGAAAAGATAACAATCACACAGTTAAGTGTAACCTTTTAAGTTATTTTAGTCTACAGGTGTCTAGAACATCAGATTGTCAGGCATTTTAATAGTAAGCAAAGCTTACAATCCAATATGCTTGAGATTCTTCAGGATGCACTCTGTCATTTCACATATCTTTCTTGTGATGCAGTGGTGTGAAATGAGCCTGAGGTAAATTTGAGAGCCTGTTGTTGATTTCTTACCTATTTTCTTATTTTCAGGTAAATAGCATTTTGTTTCCCATAAACATAAACATACAGTGAACATGCTATGATTTTCTGCAAAAGCACAACCTTTGAAATGTCATATATAGGTTATGATATATAATGCAAAATACCATTCTGTATAAAAAGGTATAGCTCACTGTCATTGCTTAGTGCCAGTATAGACAGATTGATAACAGAAGTTGAATTTGTTTGAGAAGTCATATGCTTTAATAAAACCAGGAATACATGTTTGATAACTTTCTTGTGTCATTGTGTGGCCCATGAATAGTACTTTACTCAAATATAGTGACAGTCACACTCTGACTCTTTGAGAAGTATTTTTTAGTACATTGTAACCTAGTAGTGTCAGACCTTGTCTATATCCATGAGGAGAGGTAAGAGTCACCATCAGCACAAAGCTGATTCCCATGAGGTGAAGGTGAAGCATACTTCCACTCTCCAACTGTAACCTGTTTCTGACACCAGCTCTCCTCTCCCATGGAACTCTCTACTTCTCTCCTGGGATCAGTAATTCATTGCAGTGGTCACAGGGAACTCAAAGACCATGCTCATGATTATATGGTTTATTAGGGAAGTAACAGGCTACAACTCAAGATCAGAATCAACTTAGAAGTAACAGGATACAGCTTAGGAGATGGGATACAGTTCTTCAATTAGGATACCTTCCAACCAAGACAGCTTACAGCTTCTTCTTGGCTGTTCCCATAGACAGGCCTTCTCTCAGCCATGCTTGCTTCTGTGCTTTCTTTTGGCTATGCTCACTGCTGGGCC